CAGGCAAAAAAAAGCATCCTCTGATAATCCCATCTGCTCTCTCTGCCCTGCCCAATATTTTCTCCTGTCTTCCTTTCTGATTGCTTTTTTCCCCCATCCCTGTCGTATGGAACTTCTCCGATGCCCAATCTACCCACTGAATTCTATATTTTAATGATTTAATTGATGCATGGCCATTTTTCTACATTGCTACAATGTACTCTGTATATGTTTTGTTATATGTCATACAATATTGAATGGGGGGGATATATATATACGCGTACACACACATACACAGACACACACACATATTTTCACAGACACACATACACACACACTTACAGACACATACACTCACAGACACACATACACACACACACTTACAAGCACACACACATACATTCATAGACACACACTTACAGACACACACACATACATTCACAGACTCTTACAGGCACATATACACAAATTATTATTTTTTTTATTAAAAATTGTCCACCCAGCCTCCCTACCTGGAGAGCTGGCGTGGACTTGTCCCTGGGGTCCAGTGGGTCAGGCGCCTGTCTCCATCTCAGCTGCCGCGAGGGAGCGGTGTGCTCTCTGCTGTAGCTGGGAGCCGGAATATGACGTCATATTCCGGCTCCCGGCATCAGCAAATGGCGCGCGGCGAGAGGAAGCAGAGAACACACAGCTCCCTCGCCGCTTGTATGGAGATAGGCGCCCGACCAGGGGGGTGGGGGGTGTCTATCACCTCGTGCCCCCCCCCCAGCACCCCATGACAGGAGGAACACGGGGGGAGGAGGAGGGCATTTGGGTGCGGCAGAGTTCCTGCAGGAACAACAGGAACATCGTTCCCACGCGTTCCTGCAGGACTCACAGGCGTGCTGCGGGGATTAGGTTGTGCCCAGGCACACCCCGAGCGCACACCTATGAACGGATGTACTCAGTCGAAGTATAGAGGATCCGTTACAATTATTATGTTGAGCTTGCTGTTTTCACTTTATCAGTTCTCTCTTAATTTTTGTTGTGTATTTGTCATTTTGTGTGGAGCTCACATGGATTTCTTGGGGTAGGCAGGAGTTTGGGTGGTAAAAGCTACCTGAAGATGGATTGATTAAGTAGACAAATCGCCTGAATGTACACCATAGAAAATGGCACCTGATTATTAAAGACAAAGATGGACTCTCACAATGTTCATCACTGTATTAAAACACATTATTTGTTGCAGTGTTTTTTGTTTTTTGTTTTTTTTAGAAAGGGATATCAAAAAGGATATTTCCAAGAACTCTAACAACATAAAGTATATTACAATCAATGATTGTGTTTGTAAATTAACATTGGAAAAAATATAAACAGCACATATCATATATTTGAGAATATTTGTTTTACAAATATGCTAACCTCATTCAGCAGGCTGTAACAATTTTACAGTGACATAATTAGATTTAATCTGAAATTCTAAAGAATGTCAATTTAAAATGAGGAGCTCTATTAACAGGTTTAAAAGCCACAGAACAGTCTAATACTTTTCTATTTTCCTATTTCAAGTGTTGCTTATATTTTGTAATTTCAAAGCAAACATTATAAATTACATTAGAGAAAAAAAGATTATATCTTATTGGATAAACATAAGGTGAAAAGTAATTTTTTTTACCAAATGAAAAGTTGATGGAGATGAAAACGAAGTGTCAGTAACATGTAGCTTGTATTAGACACATTCATGCACTTATTATATTGAGTATTATTTTAATGTGATTTCAGAATAAATTGCTTATGTGCCTTACATTCCAGACTTGATAGCTGGAGAATAGGGATTGTAAGACAAAACAAGATATTAACTTAAGCAAGTCATATTCATTTAATAAAAGTTACAGTTTCTGTATGACAATTTATTGATCTTTTTATTATTTGAATTTCTTTTGATGTAGAGTTGATATACAAAACAAACAAGCTTTTTTCAGCTCAGTACACAATGACACCATATTTCACCCTAAGGAATATGTAATATTAGATATTTGTTTGCATAAGTTTGCATGCTCTCACCGCAATAAAAATAATAAAGGATTTATTTTAAAGGAAGAAATGGAGATCTTAAAGGTTGATTATATTCTTATCAAGTAGCGCAATTACCTTGTTTATTAAAGGAGCACTTTAAGCACCAAGATAACTACATTTCTTTTTACATTTGCAGGGACATTCTAAGCACCAAAACCACTACATGAAATGATGTAGAAAGCCTCTATTGGCTATTAATCAGACAATCACTAGAGGCACGTCCTCACTGAAACTTTAAATAGTTTAAAGGACAGCTGCCATCCAAAAAAATCATTATTGCTTTTTTTCAAATTTGAATTACGTTAGTTATAAATGTATATAATTTTTAATGGTGTAAACACTTCTAATTACTTGCAAGCTGGAGATTTTTTTTTCACTTCTTCCCTATCACAAAAACAATGCAGAATTAGCCAAACTCCAAAAACCTGAAAAATGAAAGTAACACGATAGTGGAGATGACTGGGGCCAGAATGGCAGCTCAGAAATGACAGGTAGGCATTCACAGTAACACATACTTCTATGCAGACTGTACACCCATACTACTTCCCACACACACATACACACAATGCTACTAACAAATACTGATACCCACACTGCTACTACTCACACACACACAGAGATGTACTGCTACACTGAATGTACAAACACATACACACACACACTACACTACTACTACACATGCTACAAACCACACTGTTACATATATACTGCTGCATACAAAGACTCTAACCACATACTGACAAGTGCATATACAGAAATACATATAAACATACAGATGCACTCAAACACATGCGCACACACTACACAAACCTATATATACACACTCTAGAATTAGAATTCTGTGCCTACAGGCTCTCATGATCCAGCCCTTGTGTCTATGAGGATTCTGATCTTCACATGGATGGGGACTTTATGAATGGTTTTGGTGGGTTTTATTGCCATGTTATATAAAGCACCAAGATTATGGATTCTTTGAGAGCGGAACTTACATGGTAAGAGTGACAGGGTTCAGATTTGAGGTTATTTCTTCAGTGTTTTGTTTATGGGACAACTTTCTTTTATTGCCCATTTCTAAGAACGAAAATATACATGCATACCTCCCAATATTTCAAATACACAAACGCTTTCATTTTATTCATGTGAGTGGGAATGTGGTCAGGGGCAGGGCTTTTCTATAAAATGTTATGTGACTTACTAAACAAGTTATCCAACTAAAATGCAATTTAGAACAAGAACAATGTATCTTATTTACATAGACTGTTTTTTAGCCACATTTATTATAGTTTATAGACATATTATCGTGAGTGTTATTGCTGTATAGCTCTGTTATACTCTCCAACAATAGGAGTGTTATGGGAAGGAGGGTTTGGGGTTTCTAGGTCACTGGGACAATTTTCCACTTGGGTACAATCTTTAAAGCCTAGATTGCACCTGAATGGAAGAGGGTCTTTAGTGCTGGTGGTGAGGATGCCTAGAAGCTTGGAGGAGGACAAAGAAATATAATGTTGTAGATAGCATAGAAAGCAGATGAAGTTCCCGATGGTGTAGTGGAGGGAAGAGGCAAGATTAGCAGACAGAGCAAAAATGTATTAAATGCATGTTGTTCAAATTAAGTTCAAGAAACAAATTTCTGCTTGCTAATGCTAGAAGCTTGTGTAAGAAAATCGGCAGATATTAGCATACAAAGAGCAGTATGACATAATTGGGATTACTGGGAATTAGTTGGATGAAACACTTGATTGGGCTATTAATTTAAATGAAAATACATTATTTAGGATGGATAGAAAAGGGATTAGGGTATGTCTTTATATTAAATCTGATTTGAATCCAAGTGTTAAAGAAATTGTATGTGATGATACAGGTGAGGATGCGGAAGCCTTATGGGTAGGAATACGCACAGGAGGAAACAGGAGATATCCATTAAAAGTAGAAATATGTTACAAGCACTTAAACATTAATACCAATGGGGAAGAGCAACTGCTATCTTAAATTAATAAGCCTGCACATCTGGGTAATTTGTTAATCATTGGACATTTTAATTATCCAGACATTGATTGGGCCATTGGGACTAGTAGTACAGTTAAGGGAAACAGGGTTTTGAACCTGATAAACGATAATTTCACGTCTCAATTAGTAGAAGCGCCAACTAGAAGAGATGCTTGTCTGGATCTTGTCATAACTGATCATTTTTACTTATTTTCAAACAGTTGAATTAGTGAGCACTTTGGAAATATTGATCATAATATGGTATAATTTGAGATTATATATATATATATATATATATATATATATATATATATATATATACACACACTGTACAAAAACATTTAATTTTATAAAGGCTAATTTCAATTAAGTTTAAAAAAAAAAATCTACAAAAGTGCATTTCTCAATATATGTCAATAGGGTTTGTGTAAGGGCGATTAGATGGGCTTAACATAAAATTGAAAAGCTTATTGCCAAAGAGATCAAAACCAATCCCAAAATGTTTTTGTAAGCACATCAATGCCAAAAAGCTTAAATGGAATCTATAGTGTGAGGAAAAGTTGTCCTGGAACTATAGCTCCCTATAGTGCCCACCTTTGTCGTACCCTCTCCCCCCCTTGTGGTGCAGGAGGTGTTAAAACCCCTTTCTGTCACTTACCTGTGTCCAGCGCCAATTTCCCTTGGCTCTGGTTCGGGCTCAAGACCTAATGCGCATGTGCAGCAATGACCGCGCTTACATTAGTATTTCCCACCATAGGAAAGAATGTATAATGCTTTCCTATGGTATTTTACATGGAGCTGGGTGTCATCATGCATAGTGGGGTAGACAGCGGCGTACATACCGGGTCACGGCCGCCCTGCGACCCGGTGTGTACCCACTGTGGCCAGCCTCTTCTCCTGGGGGCCCAGGAGCTGGCCACCTCAGGGTGTCACCGGGCGGGCAGGCTGGCGGGCGCGTGAGGGAGCACTCTGTGTGCTCCCTTTTCAGCTCCCTCGCGCACCACACTGATACCAGAGCTGGAAGATGACATCATCTTCCGTCTCTGGTATCAGTACGTGGTGCGCGAGGGAGCTGAAGAGGAAGCACTCAGGGGAGAGTGCTCCCTCGCACGTCTGCCAGCCTGCCCGCCCGGTGACACCACTAGACCCCAGGGAATACCCTCAGCTCTCCCAAAGGTAAGGAGGCTGGGGGGAATAAATTTAAAAAAAAACAAAAAAAACAAACGTGTGTGTGTTAGTGTGTGTCTGTGTGTGTTAGTGTTAGAGTGTGTCAGTGAGTGTGTTACTGTGTGTGTCTGTTACTGAGTGTGTTAGTTTGTGTGTGTCTGTTAGTGAATGTGTGTTTTGTAAGTGAGTGAGTGTGTCTGACTGTCAGTAAATGTGACAATGTGAACGTCCTATGGACTTTCAGCGTCTTCTCACTATGATTTTCACAGTGAGATTCGCAGAAGCTCCTCTAACGGCTGTCAATGAGACAGCCACTAGAGGCTGGGTTAACCCTCAGTGAAAATGTTATCAGTTGCAGGGTTAAAACTAGAGGGACCTGGCACCCAGACCTCTCAATTGAGCTGATGTGATCTGGGTGTCTGTTGTGGTCCTTTAAGTGTATGTGTATCTGCATGCACTGGTGTACATTCTGCAGTTGCAGGGGTCGCAGCCCTGCGACCAGGTGCCCGCCGCCATGTGTTGCGGCCCCAGCCTGCGCAGAGTAAGGGGCCCCATGGGTTGTGTGTACGCCACTGCCACTAGAGATGGAGTTAACCCTCAAAGGTAATTAATTATTGTGGTTTATTAAAAACTGCAATAATTCCCTTTGCAAGGTTAAGGTACTATATAGACTAGAGTAGGTGGCTTTAAGAGATTAGTTGATTAGTATTTAGCCCCTCCCTGTGTGCTTCCCAGAGGGGGATAGAGGTAAATAGTAGTTGCGAGATGAGAGTTAAGTAGTAGAAATCAACTAACATCCCCTAAGGTTACTCCTGATTATATATTACTGCTAGTTATACAGCAGAGTATCTGAGAATAGCAAAATAGAGCCTAAGTGGGTACAAAAGAAAATTATGCCCCACTAGGACAGAAAAATGTGCAGATTTCCAGGTGAGATACTATAACAGCTAGTATACATAAAGTGTGAAAAAATTATAAGGGTGACCCCCACATCCCTCTCTGGGTTTAAAGTCTCCAATATAACTCAATAGTGCAGCAAAATATCTAGAAATGAGGAGACCTGGATCGTATAAAAAGCAAATATCACTTCCAGGCTCCAATGTAGCTCAATTAGATAATAAAGTATCTGGAAACACCGAGAAGATACAGTTTCCCAGTCAGATACTTGTATGCTGTGCTACAAGTTCTATCTTGTACTGCCTAGTATATTATGTCACGAAGGCTATCTCAGACTGCCTGGTTGATGCTGCCTAATATACTGTGTTACACAAAGCTATCTCAGATTGTCTGGTAGATATTGCCTATTATACTGTGTGGCAAAAGCTATCTCAAAATTGCCTGGTAGATAGTCTTAGTCTTGAAAAAAAAAAAAATTCAGGAAGTATTACTTTACTGACAGGGTAGTGGATGCATGGAAGCCTTTCAGCTGAAGTGGTAGAGGTTAACACAGTGAGGGAGTTTAAGAATGTGTGGGAAAGGCATAAGGCTATCCTAGACTTAAGATAAGGCCAGGGACTAATTAAAAGTATTTTGAACTATTGGGCAGACTAGATGGGCCGAATGGTTTTATCAACCGTCACATTCTATGTTTCATGCCATCTCCCATGCAAGGGGTTTCACAGGCAGAAAATACAAGGGTTTCAATCCCAGAATCCTTTGAGATATAATTGCCTGAGTAAACTCCTCCAATTTAATTATCTCTCATGCACAAAAAAAATCCCCAAAATATCCTTTACTCCAAACGTCCCCCAACCATACATAGGAACCCCACAAAACGTACATTCCCTGATAGCCCCGATCTACTTCAATAAGCTGACGTGGTCTGGGTGCCTTTAGTGTCCATTTAAGACTGAAAGTGTTAGTCTATTGGAATCTGAGATGGGTGTGTTAATCAATGAGAATCAGGGTAAAGCAGACATTTGAAATATTTTTATTTTATATAGGAGAGATTAATTAGGACTATAGATTTGCACAAAATCCTTACAGCAAACATGTGATTGGTTAACACAGGATAAACTTGAAATTAAATAAAATTAATGTAATCAAAGCACCAGGGCCAGGTGGTATACTCTCATGAGTGCTTAGGGAGCTTAGTGTGTTTTAGTTTTCAGGATTCTTTTCTTTCAGGAATTGTACTAGAGGATGGAGAAAAGCAGATGTGATGCATATTTTTTAAAAAGGGTTCAAAAGCTTAACCTGGAACAACAGACCTGGGAGCTTTACATCTCTGGTTAGGAAAGTATTTGCAGGGCTGTTAAGGGATAATATTTAATCATTTATTTTGAACAATATTAGCATTAGCAAGAATAGTTTTATGAAAGATAGGTCATGTCAAACTAACTTAATTGTATTCTATGAACCAATTAGTGGAAATATAGATCAGAGAGATCCAGTAGATGTTATCTATTTGGGTTTCTATACAGTTCCAGAAAAAAATGTTACTATTAAAACTGAAATCAGTTGGTTTACATTAAAAATCATGTTCTCGGATAGAGCACTGGCTTAACCCCTTCAGGACCGGACTGTTTTGGCCATGTTGTACGTTAAGGACCAGAGCTGTTTTAACACTTTTGTAGTGTTTGTGTTTAGCTGTAATTTTCGACTCTCTCATTTACTGTTCCCATACAAATTATATTGTAATTTTTTTTTAGGACAAAGGCGGTTTTCTTTACATACCATTATTTGTATCACATCATATAATTTACTTTAAAAGTAATAATGAAAAATTGAAAAATAAAGTTTGGACTTTTACTTGAAAAATCGTTTACTTATCTACAAAAGCTAATGAAAAAAAAACTGCTAAATAGATTTCAAATTTTGTCCTGAGTTTAAAAACACCCAGTGTTTACATGCTTTTTTTGTTGTTGCAAGTTATAGGGCTATAAATACAAATAAGAAATTGCTTTTTCAAAATATATATTTTTAAAATTTATCAATAGTGACATTGTAACACTGTTATCGGTCATAAATCTCTAAATAAAAAATATGTACATGCGAGGTGTGATTCAAAGTAGACAACCCAGGGTATTCAATGTGAGGTATGTCCAGTCTTTTTGAGTAGCCACTTAATCACAAATACTGGGCAAAGTTAGCATTTATATTTGTTTGTGTGTTAAAAATGCAAAAAACAATTATGAACGCTAACTTTGGCCAGTGTTGTGACTAAGTGGCTACTAAAAAGAATGAACATACCCCATTTGCAATACCTTGGGTTGTTTTCTTTTGCAAATGGTATGCCATCATGAGGGTAATTCTCATTCCTGGGCTACCATACGCTCTCAAAAGGTAACATAACCAACCTGGCAATTTTCAATGTAAAAAAAATTTGACCCTGTGACTTTCAAAAACACTATAAAACCTGTACATGGGGGGGTACTGTTATACTCGGGAGACTATGCTGAACACAAATATTAGGGTTTCAAAACAAGAAAACATTTCACAACAATTATATCAGTAAAAGTGCTGTGTGTGTGTGAAAAATGCAAAAACTTCACTTTCACTGACAATTACATCGCTGTGATATGTTTTACAGTTTTGAATCACTAATATTTGTGTTCAGTGAAGTCTCCAGAGTAAAACAGAACCCCTAATGTACAGGTTTTAAGGTGTCATAGAAAGTTACAGGGTTAAATACACTGCTAGCAAATTAAATACTCTGGGCTTTTGGCCTAGGTTGTCAAGCAGGTCCCTCAAATTGCAATCAATAAAATTACTTCATTATGTAAAAATATTACATAAATATGCACGTAGAATTTAAATATATATACATATTTATATATTTGAAGTCTACGTGTATATTTATGAAGTTATTTATGTAATTTTGTATATGGATATATATTTTGTATTATTTTTATTTATGTATACATAGATATATATATAATTTCATTCTAAGTGTATTTTGATATTATATATATATATATATATATATATATATATATATATATCTCAAAATACAGTTAGAATAAAATATATTTTTTTACTTATTTATATTTAAAAAAATATATATATATATACACACACACACATGCACACACACACACACACACACACACACACACAATATATAGTTATATATATATATATATATATATATATACACACACACACACACACGTGTGTAATTTACTTGGACAGATACTTGGACGTCTATTGCGGCCATGTGACCGCTCTGTTAGAGCTTTCACATGGCCGCGGGGGCCTAGTTTGCCGAAGTGTGATTTCCTGGACTGTCAAGTAGTCCCCCCACACCGGGAGCAATGCGATCGCCGTTGGGGGAATCCCGGCGATCAGGTAAGCAAATATTACCATTATGACGATTCAGGACCGTCATTGGTCCTCAAGGGGTTAAAGATGCAGTACAGAGAGTAGTTGTAAATTGAACATTTTCAAATTGAACAAAAGTAATAAGTGTCCTGGGTCCACTTCTCCTTAATTTGTTTATAAATGATTTTGAAGTGGACATTGAAAGTAATTTTTTGGTGTTTTCCAATGACACAAAACTAGGGAGGAATACAGTCTGAACATGATATAACGTCTCTACGGAGAGATTTAGATAAATTGGGGGACTGGCCAGACAACTGGCAGATGAAATTGAATACAGATAAATGCAAAGTCATGCATTTTAGAATAAGGAACCCACAAGTCATTTCATTTGGTTAAAGGACCACTATAGTGCCAAGAAAACACTTGTTTTCCTGGCTCTATAGGGTCCTTGGTCCCCCTCACCCTCGGGGCCCCCCTCCCACCGGGCTCTAGGGTGAGGAAGGGGTTAATTCCTTACCTTTTTTCCAGCGCCGGGCTCCCTCGGCGCTGGGGAATCTCCTCTTCCTTTCCAGTCATCGGCTGAATGCGCATGCACGGCATGAGCCGGGCGCGCAGCCAGTCCATAGGAAAGCATTCTCAATGCTTTCCTA